TGCTTGAGCCCAGGAGTTGGAGGCTGCTATAAGCTGTGATGTCACAGCACTCTACCCAGGGTGACAACTTGAGGCTCTGTCACAAAAAAAAAAAAAAAAAAAAAAAGATCAGAAAAAAAAGAAGGAATATTATTACCTATCTTATACAAATAAAACGACTATAAGAGGATACTATGGACAACTTTATGCCAATAAATTAGATAGCCTAGATGAAATGGACAAATTTTTTAAAAGATACAATCAACCAAATGTACTAAAAAAATAGTAAGTTATCTGAAGACTGATAAACAGATTAATAAGAGACTGAATTCATAATCAAAAAATTCCCCACAAAGAAAAGACTAGGACCAGATAACTTCACTAGTGGATTGTACTAAATATGTGGAGAAAAACTGAAGAGGAACATCTCCCAACTCACTCTCCGAAGCCAGTCTTACCATGATAATCAATACCAGATAAAGATACTACAATAAAAGAAAACCACAAGTTTTTCTTTATAGGGTAGGTACAATGGCTCATGCCTGTAATCCTAGCAATTTGGTAGGCTGAAGTGGGAGGATTACTTGAGGCCAGGAGCCAGTGACCAGCAAGGGCAACAAGGTTAAGACTCTGACTCCACAAAAAATAGAAAAATCAGAGGCATGGTGGCATATGCCTGTAATCCCAGCTACTCAGGAGGCTGAAGCAGGAGTTTCAAGATTACAGTGAAACATGATGATGCCACTGCTCTGTAGCTCAGGCAAGAGATCCTGTCTTAGAAAAAAGAAAAAAGTATAAATTAAAACCACAAAGCTAGTTTATGTCTACTAAAATAGCCAAAATTAAAGACTTACAAAATGAAATGGTCATAACAATACAGAACAAGCGCTTTTTACTCAATTGATAAGAACATAAATTTTGGGCTTGGCACTTGTGGCTCAAGTGGCTAAGGCGCCAGCCACATACACCTAAGGTGGCAGGTTAGAACCCAGCCCGGACCCGCCAAACAATGATGGCTGCAACCAAAAAAAAGAAATAAATAGCCGGGTGTTGTGGCAGACACCTGTGGTCCCAGCTACTTGGGAGGCGGAGGCAGGAGACTTGCTTGAGCCCAGGACTTGGAGGTTGCTGTGAGCTGTGATGCCACAGCACTCTACCCAGGGGGACAGCTTGAGGCTCTGATTCAAAAAAAAAAAGAACATAAATTTTGGTAAAGTTGATCAATTTCTAACCTACACCTAACTCTTTGACCTAGTAATTTCACTTCTAAAGAGAAATATAAATATGTTCACAACATGGTTTTATAAAAATGTTCTTGGTGTCCTTATTCACAATAAGACCAAAGGGCAAATAACAAAAATGCTCAACAGAAAGTTGACTTACTGTGGTGTTTTCATACAATAGAATTAGTCAGTGTCAGAAAGGAAAAGGTGGTATCAAGATGGAAGGATACCACAGATAAGCTGACCAATGGCAGAAACAAAAGAATATATACTTGATACCATCAACAAGAAATTTTATCAAAGACAAAAATAATTTAAGGAGAAATAAATCAGAAAAGAAGTTTCCTGGCTTGGCGCCTGTGGCTCAAGTGGCTAAGGCGCCAGCCACATACACCTAAGGTGGCAGGTTCGAATCTAGCCCGGGCCTACCAAAACAATAATGATGGCTGCACCCAAAAAATAGCCAGGCATTGTGGCGGGTGCCTGTGGTCCCAGCTACTTGGGAGGCGGAGGCAGGAGACTTGCTTGAGCCCAGGAGTTGGAGGTTGCTGTGAGCTGTGACGCCACAGCCCTCTACCCAGGGGGACAGCTTGAGGCTCTGTCTCAAAAAAAAAAGAAGTTTCCTTAGGAAAAGAAAACAGAACTAATCAGTGTCAGAAAGGAAAAAGGGATATCAAGAGACATAGTATGGACCTATTTGCCAAATTTTATAGCTAATATCTGTGTTAAACTTTACAGCTAAGACTTTTTTTTTTTAAGAGAAAGAGTCTCACTTTGTCACCCTTGGTAGAATGCCGTGGCATCAACAGCTCACAGTAACCTCCAGCTCTAGGGCTTAGGCGATTCTCTTGCCTCAGCCTCCTGAGTAACTGGGACTACAGGTGCCCGCCACAATGCCCAGCTATTTTTTGGTTGCAATTTGGTCGAGCTGGGCTCAAACCCATCACCCTCAGTATATGAGGCCAGTGCCCTACTCCCTGAGCCACAGGCGCTGTCCTACAGCTAAGATGTTTAAACTTAACATCTGTTAAATCATTAGCTGACAACTAGGCTATGAGTTATGTCCTAGCAAGCCAGGATTAAAAATGAAACCAAGAGGGACTGGACATGGTGGCTCACGCCTGCAAACCTAGCACTCTGGGAGACCAAGGCAGATGGATTGTCCTGAGCTCACAGGTTCCAGACCAGCCTGAGCCAGAGCAAGACCCCATCTCTAAAAATAGCTGGGTGTTGTGGCAGGCACCAGCAGTCCCAACTACTTGGGAGGCTGAGGCAAGAGAATCGCTTGAGTTTGGGGTTACTGTGAGCTCTGACACCATAGCACTCTACCGAGGGTGACAAAGTGAAACTGTCTCCAAAAAAAAATGAAAGCAAGAATTTTACAAAATAAAAATAATTAAGCAGATACATCACTGGCTGCACAGTGCAGGAAGACAAATTTCATAAGCTTTGCCTATGGAAATTTCTAAACAGCCACCTTAGAAAGGGAAATTATCTAAAATGAAGAGTTTTCAAATACAAAATTATAAGGCATAATACAAACAGAAATTTATGACCCAAACTCGGGGGGGGGGGAAATGCAGTATATACATATTAATTATGTGCCAGACTTACAACAATCCAGTAAAAGATATACATAATTATTTAATTGATATAAGACAAAATTCACTCTTGATCTCTTAAGAGAAAAATTCTTATTTCAGTTGAGTACACTGAGCCTTTCTTATCGTTACAAAACAAAAGCTTTGGCTCTGCGCCTGTAGCTCAACCGGCTAAGGCGCCAGCCACGTACACCTAGGGTGGCAGGTTCAAATCCCCAGCCCGGACCCGCCAAACAATGATGGCTGCAACCAAAAAAAAGAAATAAATAGCCGGGTGTTGTGGCAGACACCTGTGGTCCCAGCTACTTGGGAGGCGGAGGCAGGAGACTTGCTTGAGCCCAGGACTTGGAGGTTGCTGTGAGCTGTGATGCCACAGCACTCTACCCAGGGGGACAGCTTGAGGCTCTGATTCAAAAAAAAAAAGAACATAAATTTTGGTAAAGTTGATCAATTTCTAACCTACACCTAACTCTTTGACCTAGTAATTTCACTTCTAAAGAGAAATATAAATATGTTCACAACATGGTTTTATAAAAATGTTCTTGGTGTCCTTATTCACAATAAGACCAAAGGGCAAATAACAAAAATGCTCAACAGAAAGTTGACTTACTGTGGTGTTTTCATACAATAGAATTAGTCAGTGTCAGAAAGGAAAAGGTGGTATCAAGATGGAAGGATACCACAGATAAGCTGACCAATGGCAGAAACAAAAGAATATATACTTGATACCATCAACAAGAAATTTTATCAAAGACAAAAATAATTTAAGGAGAAATAAATCAGAAAAGAAGTTTCCTGGCTTGGCGCCTGTGGCTCAAGTGGCTAAGGCGCCAGCCACATACACCTAAGGTGGCAGGTTCGAATCTAGCCCGGGCCTACCAAAACAATAATGATGGCTGCAACCAAAAAATAGCCAGGCATTGTGGCGGGTGCCTGTGGTCCCAGCTACTTGGGAGGCGGAGGCAGGAGACTCGCTTGAGCCC